CAAGAAAAAGAAAAAATAATTAAAAAAATAAATGAATAAATAAGGTATTTGCCAAAAAATGGCAAGAAAAACAACTAAAAAATAAAATTAGTTATTTAACGAAAACCGGCTTTTGCAGCCACCAAAACAGTGTCAGTAAAACCGGGAGTCGTTCGGGCAGCCTACTGGCAGGACAGCCAGACTGTCATCATGGTGGCTGCGTAGTGGCCGTGCCTGGAGAGCCTGCCACCGACGTGGCTGCGTAGTGGCCCATGGTATCTGCTGACGGCAGATGCTGCCGCGGAGTGGCTGCGTAGTGGCCGGTGGTGCCCGTTGCTGGCAGATGCTGCCCCCGGAGTGGCCGGTGGTGCCCACTTCCGGCAGATGCTGACCCCAGAGTGGCTGTGTAGTGGCCGATGGTGCCGGCTGCCGGCAGGTGCCACTTATTGGTAGACAAACTACTCCGTTCCATCAAATAAATGTGACATTAAAAAGGTTTTAATGCAGTTTATTAAGCAATAACATCACAATATTAGGAAAAAAAAACTATCTAGTTAAAAGTACTATAAATAAGGCATTTGCCGAAAAACGGCAAGAAAAATACCAAAAAAAGTGACGAGTCACATCGAGCCATCGGAACAGCCACCGGAACTGCTGCAACGCAGCCACTGCCACGAATTGAGCTCGGCCCTGCTGCAGCCTGCGAGCCTGCGCCCAGGGCAGCAAGTCCAGATATTACAGATACAAATCCTTTTACGCATTTCTGCATCTCACACGGCAGAAGTGTAGCAAAAATAACGTGTGTAAAATGAGCCAACCGAGAAACCGCCGGACTTGTAACCAACGGTGTGTCTGTATTTCTGGGTGTTGAAGTGAAAATACTTCGGACACAGTGTCTCTGTGTGTGCTTACAGATTGTTCTACACATTTGTAAATCTTACTACAGATTTGTAAATCTGAATACAGATTTGTGGATTTTTTACACATTTGCAAACCAGATTACACACACACAAGTAGTTTTGCACATTTGCAGATTGTTGTACAGACACACAAATCTCCTCACACATTTAGTTTCATTTACACATTTTCAAATCCCCCTGCACACGCACAAATCGAGATACAGATATACAACTCTCCACACACATTTGTAAATAATAAAGCAATAATTTTGGGCCCATAAATAAGGCTTGTGAGAGATTTAAAGAAGTGAGTGACTTCAAGAGGCCTCAGGAAGATTTCTAGTAATAACCAACCACTAGAAGATTCTCAAACTATTGGCTGACACATCAAGTCTCCCACTGCAAGGGAATTTACTTTGTAAGCATACTACAGTATGCTGAAACAAGGCTCAAAACAGTATAGAACATCATTATGAAAAATACAGGGTGCAGGATGTGCAAGGAGGAAATATTTGCTCTCAAAGAAAAGCTTGAGAATAAGAATAAAGCTTGCCAAAGACAACTTGCACAAAAAACAAGACTTTTTAAATTAATATTGCAGTGACAATGATGTCTAGTGCAGAAGTTTTCCCTGCAATCCGAGGGTTGTCGGTCTAAACTCTGGCTCTGGCTTTCAGTGTTGTTGTGTCCTTGGGAAAGACACTTTGCTTGCATTGCATACTGATTGTGGTCAGAGGGCCCGGTGGTACAGTGTACGGCAGCCTCGCTTCTGTCACTGAGCCCCAGCTGTGGCTACAATGTAGTTTGTCACCATCAGTGTGTGAGTGTGTGCTTGAATTTGTGAATAACCGAATGTACTGTAAAGTGCTTTGGTCAAGTCTACTGACTTGAAAAAGCACTATATTAGTACAGACCGTCTACTAAGAATCACAAACTAAATTATTTGACACCAGAATGGGTATAAAACACTGGCGCAACTTTCTGAAGGACTGGTGTGGACATGTCCCAACCAACTTTGGCATGGAGGGGATATGCACCACCATTAATTCCCGCTTTTTCCCCCTTTCTGCTCATTTACTTCATCCAATAGTTACTGAGGTGGTGTACAGCTGTCTGTGTTCAGAGCGTTTTCAGTCCGTGTTTTTTCCTCGCTTCTGATGTTCTTGAGTCCCAGCTCTTGAAATATCGTTGGATCTGTCACTTTGGGACATAATATTTTTTGGGGTCTCTATTCACTGCGTACATAGTAGCAACATGGAGGAGGAGAGACACAGCAGCACTGAGTGAATTTTTACCGGGAGCTACTTCGATATATGTTTCAGTAAAGTTAGGAGAAGTTGGTTAAAAAATTTTAGATGCCACCGTTCGTTACACATTCCAAGCTTTTTCAGCTAAAACTTGCAACATAGTGTACATACATATAAGTTTACAAAGTTGGGCTTCTCAGAGGACCATTTCTCAGAGTTATAGATTAAAAGGAACACATATCTGTTGTTTTTTTATTGAACAGAGAATCAGGCTGCAGAACTTCTGTATATCTTGAAAATAATTTTCTCTGGCATCATTTTATTGGTAGAAAGGTTC